AGGAGGAGCAGGAGGAGCAGGAGGAGCTGGAGGAGCAGGAGGAGGAAGGAGGAGGAGGAGGAGCAGGAGGAGGAGGGCCAGGGGCACGTTTTGGCAGCCCCCGGCTCCTGGGGACACCGGCGGGCATCCCGACCCGACAGAAAGCCAGGCCGCGCGTGAGGTGGGCTTGGCCTCTGCGAGCAGCGGCACCGTGCCGCCGCCGAGGGCGCTGCGGGCCGCAGCGGCGGCGCTTGCTCGGGCCCCGCCAGCCTCGCCGGGCCCCTGGGCCCAATGGAGAATCCCAAATCGACGAGTCCTCCACCCTGGAGGGCCCAAGCACGAAGACTAAAATCAGGAGAGGAAAAAGCACACAGACACAATTAATCCTCGATTCCCCAGAGAATATGTGAAAATATGGGAAGCGGGGGGGGGACAGGAACCCAGAAAATACGGGACACTATGGGGAATAGTTTTATTTGTGTGTATTTATTTGTGTGTCCTGGGGCCCCTTCATAAAAGCGTACCCTTCCAAGGCTAAGGCTGTCCTTAGGCCTCGTGCCAGCTGTAGCAGAAGCGGCACAAGCTTAAGTCGGGCGTGTCCCTCTCCAGACTGAAAAGCCAGAATGGTCGAATAATAGTGTGGTGCCGATTTTTCGTGCCCTTTTGACAATTTCTGTTTTTTTGACTACTTTTTTTTTCTTCCCAAAATGTGCATGTCGGAAGACATGCCCGACCTAACTCTAGGCCTCCCCGATGGGGTCCGAATAGATGGGGTCGTAGGATCTCGCCGCATCGCCGATGCATCGACGATCTCCTCTATTTCGGCTTCCGTGGCCCGTGATCGGGCCTCGGGACCAGCAAAACCACCCCTGGGGACGGGGTCGAGACCTCTGCGGACTACACGTAAGTAAAGAACCGAACTTGACACACCGATGCTTTTTTCCGGTCCCGCACTGAGATTCGCACACGAAAACGAAATATGGTGTATACGGCATCCTGGTGTATACATTTTTTGTTGTTTCCACGGGAAAACGGGGAAATAAGTATACACCACACCACCCCGACGTCGTCACCGCCCCTCAAAGTCCTGGGACTGAGAAACCGCCCGCCACTGGTAATGTATGTGCTCCAGTTTCCGAGCAAGAGTGACCTTTCGCCGGAGCGACCTCTGGTGCCGGCCCAGCGGGGCCTCCCGGATCGCCGAACGCGATGCGGCACGAGTGTCCTGCGCGCTCGTGTCGGGCCCCCCCTGCGGCCCCCCCCAAAAAGCCGCGCACCAAAAGGTCACTCCTGCCCAGGGGCGCTCTTGCGTGCAGCAGTCCACCTCCCAGGGTCTGTTTCTTTGGTCCGTCCCGGCGTTCCCTGATTTCGGCTTCTCCGTGGCCCGTGGTCGGGCCTCCGGACGATCCAAACCGGCCCTGGGACGAAAAACTACCCATGGGGAAGGTCGGCGGCGAGCGCGGGGGCGAAGTCGTCGGTGGAGGCTCAGAGAACTTCTCAGGATGCCCGGGGGCTTCCGAGCCTTCTGAGAAGGCCCGGCCCTTCTCGCTCCCCCCCCTCGCTCGCCGCCGAAAGGGGTCGGGACCTCTGGCGTCAAGTTGGGCATGTCCCTCTACAGGGGGAGATTTTTCATTTTTGAAAATAATGAAAAGTAGCTTCGGGAAGATTTTGTTCGACTATCGTCTTTGACCTTTCTTTTTTTTTTGGGGGGGGGGAATTGTTTTTGTTTAAGCAAAAATCCGCTTGTGGTAGGACACGCCCGACCGGGCTCTGGGGCCGCGGATTGAAAAAGCAGGGCGGAGGGTGTCCGTATCAGGAGGCATGCCAGGGTGGTCCCCCAGGGGCGCGCCGCGCTCTCGAGGTCGGGACGGTCGAGAGGCCTCCCTGGGCGGCGCGCGTGGATGCCAACCAGGGCTATACACACATATATATATATATACATATATATATATTTATGTATGTATTTGTAAATGTTATTATCTATCTATTTATTAATTTATGTATTTCTTTATTTTTTTATTTATTTATTTACTTATTTGTTTATTTGTTTATATATTTATGTTTTATATATATAATTGTTTATGCATATTAATTAATAAGTATTGATGTATTTATGTATTTATTTGTTTATCTATTTACGCACATCTGTATACACATACGCCTGCCCCCTGGTGGGGGCCGTCGCCGTGCGCAGCCCAAGGCCTTGTAGAGGAGGGGCGGCCCGACGTGTCCTGCGCGCTGGGGCGCCGCCAACCCCTCCGGGGAAGTGCCCGCCGCTGGGCCGGCGGCGGCGGTACCGCTGTCGCTGGCACCCTCGGCCTGCCTGCCAGTCCGTCCCAGAGGCTGTTTTTCTTTCCACCTCCTCCACCTCCTCCTCCTCCTCCTCCTGCTCCTGCTCCTCCTCCTGCTCCTGCTCCTCCTCCTCCTCCTCCTCCTGCTCCTCCTCCTCCTCCCCTCCTCCTCCTCCTCCCCTCCTCCCTCCTCCTCCTCCTCCTCCGCCTCCTCCTGCTCCTCCTCCTCCTCCTCCTCTTCCTCCTCCTCCTCCTCCTCCTCCTCCTCCTCCTCCTCCTCCCTCCCCCCGCCGCAGCGCCCCATCCACAATCTGGCAAGCTTGCTTGCATGGGGGGAGGGGTGGGGGCGCGGCGAGGCCCGAAACGAAGTCTGGACTTCACGCAAGTCGGGACTCGCTTGCACGCCTTTTCGGCCCAGCGTTGTCCGAAAATGATGCGAGGGGGCGAGGGGGGTGGCGAAGTGCCATGCAGTTGAACTTGCTAGAATCTGAAGAAGAACGCGCTCCCACTGGAGTTCCGAGTCTCCGAGAGTCGGACGCGCGCGACGGCGCCACCGGCAGCGCGTCGCAGGCGGGGCTGATCGTCTCGGGGGGTTGTGCTACCGTCTGCAGTGCATGTAAGCAGCCGTGATCCAGGGCGTGGCGGAGGCACGGTTGTCGCGCAGGATGTCCCACGTGGGAGATTTTTCAGCAGATGCGAGCGCTTGGCACATGGCGCGAGATGGTTGCAGGCCCCCAAACGGTGCGGTATCCACGTCGTGTGGTGGGAAGTCAGTCGAGATTCGGAGTGGCCGCACGGTGTTGGGACTCGGGTCCTTCTCCGAGGAGTATCGGGCGATTGGGGCCTTCGAGGTCCTAGAACCGTGCGGCGACGGACCGCGCGGCGAGGTCGTTGGGGATTCCGAGGTCCCCGCAAGGTGTGTAACACACACCGTCTTGGGACCCCAAAGATTGGTAGAGCGAAAGATTGCGCCCATTCCCTTTCTCTGCTCAAGAGGGGCGTGTCCGATCTGGAGAGGACGGGCACCTCGCCGCCCCAAGGGCAAATCTTGCCAAGAGCTTACTGTCGACCTCTTATTTCCACACGGCATTCTCGCTCCATTGCCCAACGTGTGGCTCCAGAATCGACCTCTCACGTGGATGGCGACACCAAGCACACACGGATGATGGTGCTGGCTTGCGCAAGGCCGCCTTTGTGGCTTCACCTCCGTCACAGCGTTCCGCGTGATTTGAAGCCTCAAGAGAGAGGGGCGAGAAGTCACAGCCATTCTGGCTCCAGCTCATATGCAATCCCAGGTTCTCCTTGTTTCGTTTGCATCTGGTCACCGCTTCGAGGAGGCCCAACAGCGACTGGACGAAAGTCTTGAGACAGCAGAGATTGATGCTCACTGGCGCTGGAATAGTTCCTCGTTCAAATCTGGTCCTCACGGCAAATGGCACCGCCGACATTCGAACGTCAATTTCCGACGTGGTGGCGCTTGGAAGCCTTACATCATACTGCAAGCTATGATGCGTGTGCGTGAGGGTGATTGGGTCATCTACCACGACAGCTCCCAGTATTTCCCAGCCGGCTTCTCCTCGTCGGTCAGGCCTTTGTTAGCATGGCTCGAGTCGCAGCGTCACACCAACCAGTGCGAGTGTATCGCAGCTGTGCGATTGAGACAGCAGGTTCAGCACGAGTGGCTGCAGAAGTGTTCACCGACGTGGGCGCCATACGGATTGAACCCCGGTCCAGAGCCGCCGATGAGCACCTTGTGCAGCATGCTGCATCGAATCGGTGCGTGCGGTCTGTCTGATGGTGCCGACTCTGGGCAGCGAGACGAGGAATGCTGCACCCGCATCGCCGAGGCGCCGATGCTCCAGAACTCTTGGTCCATCTGGAGAAAGGGGCCCGCGGGCCTTCAGTTTGTCCGCGAGTGGCTGCGGCACGCAGAGGACCCCGAGGTGCTGCCGCACCTGCCGTTCGGGGAGCAGACGCTGGAGGAGCTGCTGCTGTACAAGCTGCACGCGCGGCTCGGGCTGCGCGCTCTGTGGGCGCCGTCCCTGTACGCGCAGCACTGGAGCGAGGAGCACGACCTGGCACACTTTGGTCCCCTCGCGTTCGGCCGGAACGACGGCACCCCGTTCAAGTCGGCGGCCACAAAGGGTGTGGTTACGCCAGGGCGTGGTTTGTGATATGCGTCGTCGGGGTTCGAGGTGGCAACACGTTGCCTTCGTCGGGCCGCCTCGGGTCGCGGCGGAGGAACCTGTCGAGGTCTTCGCCCGCCCCCCAGGGTGCGTGTTGCAAACCACACCCTTTGCAAATCACATCCTTCGGAGTTGCCGTTCAAGCACCTCAACAGCTTCCTGCGGCTGCTGAGCAGGCCTGCGACCTCTTGCGAACCTTGCCCCATGCGGGTCCAGTCGACGCTGGGGTATCGGACACCCCCGCTGGGGTTCATTTGGCTGTAGACATCCTTCAACTGCTGAGCCCCAGTCGCTTTTTTTGGATTAGGTGGCTTCACTGCTGGCCCTAGGTGGCTTCACTGAGGGCCGCGTCCTTGCATTAGGGATGATAATTGTGGGGGGTTTGGCCTGGTACATCTGCAGAAGAGACCCCCTATCCCCAACCTTTTCGGCCCTCCCGACTTAGGTCTCCTCCCGACCAGGTCAGGAGTCCTTGCTTGGTTCATCAACAGGGGTAGCGCGCTCACGTGTGTCTGCCCAGCAGGCAGGCCGCCACCGGCGAGGCACAGCTCTGGCTGCTCAGCCTGCGCCGCGGGGCGCCGCAGGACCCGGCAGACGCCGCCCTGGAGGCCGCCTCGGGCGCGCCCCGGCTGGCCTGGGAGGCGAGCCGGGTGCCGCCGCGCCTGTGGCGGCGCTCGCTCTGCCTGCCTCCGGAGGTCGGACGACGACGACGACGAGGACGACGACGACGAGGACGACGACGAAGACGACGACCACGACGACGGCGACCACGACGACGACGACGACGACTACGACGACGACGGCGGACGACGAAGACGACGAGGACGACGACGACGAGGACGTCGACGACGACGACGTCGACGTCGACGAGGACGACGTCGACGAAGACTACTACCACGACGACGACGACGATGACGACGACGACGACGGAGACGACGACGACGAGCGGGGAGGAGATGCCGAGCGGGAACTTTTGGATAACGTCTCGCGTCGCCAGTCCTGACCCACCGCGCCTCGGCGAGACACGCTATCCGCATCCCCGTCCCGAGGTGTCAACGCCCCGAGCTCTCCCGAGCCTCCCGCCCCGCGGAGCGGAGCGGCGCGCTGTCCGCTCGCAGGGCATGGCGTGCCGCTGGGGCCGCCGCGGCGGCACGCGAAGCAAGAGTCCCCGACCGTGTAATTACGCCGCCCCTGGGCCCAGGATGGCCCAGGCCTGGGGCGATGTGTACGTGCATCGCAGGCCCAGAGATTGACGCCAACACCAATATCGGCGGTGTGCATCCACCGAGGGAGGAAGGTCCCGATCTCAGTAATGGTGGTAATGTTCTGGCTTCCAAGGTGGCCGAAATATTGCCACCAACACCGAAATCGTGTGGAGGCAACCCCCTGTGTTGGTGTTGGTGCCCATTTCTAGGCCTCCAAGTGTAGACCTCGCTGCCCCAACAGGGGCGTCCGCCGCTGGCGGCCTCCGTCACGGACTCCCAGCTCTTCCTGGCGCGGCGGCGCGGCGGCTTCAGCGATCGGGTGCCGTGGGGGCCGGCGTACCGGGCGCCCGTCGCCTGGGCGGGGCCGCCGGTCTACGCGGAGCGGCCTGCAGACCCGGGCGCGCGGGCAGGCCGGCGCGCCCTGCGCCAGCTCGCTCGCGACAGCACCGACGCCGTGGGGGAGCAGGCCCTGTACGGGGGCGGCCTGTCCGAGGCACACGTGGCCGGCGCATGGCGCAGCGACAGGGTCCCGCCGTGGGCGGCTGGCGTGATCCTGTACGTCGGGCTCATCTCGAAGAAAAGAGAGAGCGGCATCAAACATAAAGCTTTGGCGCTCCGCGCGGATTTCTTGGATCCGCGCTGGGCCCCCCGCGGCGCCTCCAGCGCCGCCTCTGGCGCGCTCCGATCCCAGAACTCCGCGCGGAGCAGCACAAGTTTATGTTCGTGCCGTTTTTTTCTGCTTCCGTCATCAACGACGGCGCCGTGCCCTGGCCCGACAACGCGGGCCTCTGCGCCGCTGGCGGTGGCAACATTGGGGGGCCACATGCGAACCCTCCCCCCACCCCCCACGATCTCTGAGGGGGAGGGGGGGGGGTCGCTTCGCTCGAGAGCTCCCGAACGAAGTGCACCCCACCCTCCCCCTCAGAAATCGTCGGGGGTAGGGGTAGGGCTCGCATGTGGCCCCCTAAAACATCAGCTTCCCCTTCTTCCACCGCCTGTGCATCGACGGCACGGGCCGGACGGGCCCGAGCTGCGGCGCCGTGTGGCCGAACCAGCGGGCCGCGCTGGTGCTGACGGTGCCCCTCCCGGAGGGCGCTGGCTGCTCAGGTTGCCTCGCGCCGTGAACCAAAATCGCGACGGGAGGCTTTTCGCTACTCTCGGCCTCCAGGGGCTCTCGCCGGGCCTCGGGTCTGCCAGAACACGGCTCAGGAGGAAGAACCTCAAGCAGTGGCGAAGCGTCCCGGCTGGCCTATAGCCCCACCAAACCATGGTCTTAGAACCTTTTGTGGTTCCCACGGAATGTTCTCAGAACATTTCTGGCTGGACTGTCTTGTTTTAACACATCGGGTTTATGTTCTAAGAACATTGTTTTTGTTCTTAGAACAGTTTTGGATTCTACGACCATGTCGTGGTATGACTCTAGGAATGCCGGGACGGCCGGTTCCTGCTCAAGAACTGGTTTCCGGGAAGGGGTCCAGGCTCCTGGGGGTCACGGCACGAACAAAATCACGACGTCGGGGGTCTGTCAGAGCCCCGAATCATCAGGGGTAACTCGGGTCAGGGCTAACTCGGGTTCGTTTTTCGGGAATCCGAACCCGACTTACCCCGGACCCGAGTTACCCCGGATAACTCGGGCGTCCAGAGCCCCGAATCATCAGGGGTAACTCGGGTCAGGGCTAACTCGGGTTCCTCTTTCGGGAATCCAAACCCGACTTACCCCGGACCCGAGTTACCCCAGATAACTCGGGCGCCCAAGTCTGGGCATGCACCCGGCACCGAGCCTGGTCGGGCCCATCCTGGGCCCGGGATGGGCCTGGCCAGTGTCGGTGCCAGGCGTATACCCAGAGATCCCATGCCTCGATCTGTGTTTCCCATCCGGCCGGGCTCCTGTCCAAAGTGTACCTTTTCCTGCACATCATCTTCAGCACCGCCTGATCCCAGGGCTTCGCCCTCTCCCGCCCGCGTGAGGCCCCGCCTTCTTCCGCCCTTCCTCTGCTAATCAAAGCTGTGCGCGTCCCGCTCAGCTTTCAGCGGAAGAGGTTCGCTCTCGCCCCGCAGATCAAACAACAATTTCCCATCCGGGGTCCCAGGAGGTCCCGGCTGCTTCTCATCCTGAGTTGTGCTTGAAGGTCCCTCGGCCCCGGCGAGGCGTTCTGGAGGACGAACAGCGGCGAAGCATCGGCACCCTGTTTTTTGGTCAGTGCGCTGCAGGGTTTCTCGCGGATCGAGCCTGTCTGGGTACAGCCAGCGCCCTCCTGCCGTCGCTGGCCCCAGGAACGGGACGCGGCCGGGCTGGCGGGAGGCCCGGTGGGCGCTGTGCAGGCCCAGCGACGCCAGGCGCTTCGGGCCACTGCTGCAGGCGCTCCTCCTGCCCGGCAGGGCCCGGCACGCCTCGTCCGAGTGGCGCGCCGGCGGTGCCGACGCGCCCGGTCCTCTCCTCCAAGACGGTCGGGGCGAGGGGGCAGGAGGTGGAGGTGGTGCGGGTGGTTGGTGGGTCAGAGGAGGAGGAGGAGGAGGAGGAGGAGGAGGAGGAGGAGGAGGAGGAGGAGGAGGAGGAGGAGGAGGAGGAGGAGGAGGAGGAAGAGGTACCCATACTGCTACCCTTCCCTCGTTTTCGCCTTTTGGGGCCTCCTGGGAGGCCCTCGTCGCCACGGCTGGATTCGCTTTCAAATCCTGGTCAGAACGCACCTTGGGAGATGTCCATGGAATATAGCGGTATCGGCATCTACTTACCTCCCCAGCGGGAGGAGGCAACAGGACGAGAAGACGATCGGGGCGAGCGGGCACGAGTCAGGGAAGAACAAACGGCATGAACGTCTGTTTTCGATGGTCCGCGCGGATTTCTCGGATCTGTTCTGAACCACCCCTGGCGGCGCTTCCAGCGCCACCCCTGGACGCTTTCCGCGCGCCGGGAGGGTGGCCCAGCGTAGATCCAAGAAATCCGCGCGGACCGTCGATGGTCTATGTTTGCGCAGCTTCTCTTCTTCTAAGGAGCTGGAGATGCTGCGGGGTGGTGGTGGGAGGAGGCAACATGATTAGAAGGCAACCATCACTGATTTCCCTAACATGCCGTGTGCATGATTTTGGCACATTGGGGGTGCCCTGGGGAGGCTCCGTGTAGAGGCTTGCGGGGAGGCGACTTGGGACGGGTGGGCGCATTGCAGCATCGTTGATGCATCTCTGGTTTCCTCTGGTCCCTTGTTCCCTTCCTCCCTCCTCGCCGTTTTCCTCCTCCCCATCTCCCTCCCTGCTCCACCTTCCTCCCAACGTGGCATGCCCCACTCTGGCCCCGACGGAACAAAACAGCCTCCCCCTCCCCCATCCTCCTGGTCCTCCTCCACCCTCGTCGTCGTCGTCGCCGTCCTGCTACTTCACCCTCCTTCCTCCTCCCTCCTCCTCCTCCTTCCTCCCTCCTCCCTCCTTCCTCCTCTTTCCTCCCTCCTCCCCCTCCTGTGCAGGCCACGCTGGCGGACGGCGCGGATCAGCTGGAGAGGACACCCACCCGGGCGGGGGGGCGGCTCAGATCAGTTGGCCAAGGAGGGCGGAGGGGGGACGGGGGGTGGCTCAGAGGAGTTGGAGGAGGGCGGAGGAAGGATGAAGGAGAAGGAGGAGGAGGAGTCTCTCCTCCCCGCACACCGCCTTGCTGGCGCATACTCTGAGCCCTTGGGGGGTCCTCTTCTTTTCCTGCTCTTTTTGCCCGTCCCGTTCGGCTGCGCCAGCCAGGTCAAACTTGTTTTTCGCTCCGCTAAGTCGGCTCTCTCTTTCTTTATACATTCAGTAGCGCTCCAGGCTTCTGTCCTAATTTTGCGCAGCATCATAATGATGATGATGATGATGATGATGATGATGATGATGATGATGATGATGATGATGATGATGATGATGATGATGATGATGCTGATGCTGATGCTGATACTGACGATTGATGATGATGATGATGATGATGATGATGATGATGATGATGATGATGATTATGATGATGATGGTGATGATTACGATGATGATGGTGATGATGATGATGATGAGGAGGAGGAGGAGGAGGAGAACGAGGTGGAGTGGAGATGGATAGGGAAGGAAAACGGTGAGCAGGGGACGATGATGGTGGCGGTGGTGATGACATTGACCATGATGCTGTTTCTTCCGATAATGCCAATGCCAATGCTGCTGCTGTTGACTATGGTTGTGATGATCGTGGTGATGGTGCAGACGACGACGATGATGACGATGATGCTGCTGCTGATGATGATGCTGATGCTGATGCTGCTGATGATGATGCTGATTGTGATGGTGATGATGAGAATGATGAGGATGATGCTGACGATGATGCTGCTGATGATAATGTTGATGATGCTGCTGCTGATGATGCTAATGATGATGATGTTGATGATGACGATGATGATGACGATGATGACGATGATGATGATGATGCTGATGGTGATGGTGATGGTGATGGTGATGGTGATGGTGGTGATGGCGACGATGATGATGGTGATGATTACGATGGTGATGACTATGATGATGTTGATGCTGATGTTGATGCTGCTGATGATGCTGCTGATGATGCTGATCATGATGCTGATGATGCTGATGCTCATGCTGATGCTGCTGATGATGCTGGGTGATGATGATGACGATGCTGATGCTGATGATGATGCTGTTGCTGCTGCTGATGACGATGCATACGATGATGATGACGACGGTGGCGATGACGCGTTGTCGACGACGACAATGCTGATGAAAACCACACCGATGATACGATGGTGCGATGATGATGGCGATGCTGGTCCCGATAGCGATGGCGATAATGGTGAGGTTGATGGTAATGGTGATGCATGGCTTTGTTTGTCTTTGACGGCTCCTGGGGGTTTGACGGGCTTTTGAGCGCTTAAGGGGTGGATGAGGATGAGGAGGAGGAGGTGGAGGAGGGGTATGGGGGGACGAGGGAGGATGACGGGGAAGAGGCCGATGACGGAGACTTTTTTGTAAACAGCGAATGCTGTGAGGTATCCTCATTCTTCGGAGGACCCCTCCTGCGTACCCGGCATCCGAATTCGAATTTATGTGTGCATTCGTGTCTGCGTGTGTGCGGGCGTGTGTGTGTGTGTGTGTGTGTGTGTGTGTGTCGCGCGCGCGCGCGCGTGTGTGTGTGTGTGTGTGTGTGTGTGTGTGTGCGTGTGTGGTTGTGTGTGGTTGTGTGTGTGTGTGTGTGTGTGTGTGTGCGTGCGTCTATCTGCCGGAGAGTCGACCTCGGCCCAGCCGCCGACGCAAAAAGTGTGTGCGTGCGTGCGTACTGGCGTGCGTGCGTGCGTGTGTATGTACGTATACATATAACCGGGGACCGGGTCTGGTGGGCCCCGGGCCGGCCCCCCGACCACAAATGTTGGGATTGGGAGCCAGGGCGTTTTTTGGAGCGCCCAGATCGTTCCAAGACAGGTCAAGAGGGGCTCAAGATAGCCCCAAGATGGCACACGAGGGCCCCCAACCGCCGAACGGTCGCTCCAAGACGCCCACGATGGCCCCAAGATGGCCACAGCGGCCGCCCAAGACGGCCCAAGAGGACTCCAAGAGCACCCCCAAAAGGGCTCCAAGATGCCCAAATCGTCCTATTCCCTTCGGGAAACGTGCATTTTTAGCATATACGGTTTTTCGGCCCTCACCGCGTTGAAGACGGCCCAAGAACACCCAATATTGCCCCAAGACAGCCCAAGAGGCCCCCAAGAGGGCCCCAAGACGGTCCAGGAGTCCCAAGATGGCCCAAGAGGCGCCCGAAACAGCCCAAGAGCGCCTGAAGACGGCCACAAGAGGGGCCCACGGGTGCGCTTTCCATCCGGCCCTCTCGGACTTCAGAAACAGTTCCACGAGGCTTCTCAAAACGGTCCCCTGGGGCGCAATTCAGCAGCGTGCCAGAGAGCCCCAAGAAGGGCCCAAGAGGGGGAACCCGAACTCACACATCGACCCTGCCCCCCGAAGACGGCCTCCCTGACCGCCAGCAGGGCCCCGAGAGATTTCCAAGATGCACCCCAGGAGCACCCGAGGGGCCCCCCCAACACCACCCAGAAGCATCTGGAGGCCCCCGTGCAGGCTCCAAACTCGACAAAAGACTTCCGAAATGCCTCCCACGAGACACCACACAATTGTCAAAGAGGCCTCCAGCTTACGACCAAGCGCGGCGGCAGGTTAGGCCAGATGCCAGTGGACATACACACGCATCTATATATACACATATACATAAACAGTGTGTATATATATATGTGCACATACATATCTAGATGCATATGTACTTTCTGCGGGGGTCGCGATATGGATTGGTTGTAGGTATGGGGTGAGCATCAGGCAACAACTTTTGACAGTACTGGCCTTTGCATTTGACACTTGGTCATTCGCAATGTATGATGTGAGTTCCGTGGGCGCGGCTAGAAACGAAGCGCGCGCGAAGCGCGCGTGGTTCTAGTGTGTGTGTGTGTGTGTGTGTGTGTGTGTGTGTGTGCGTGTTTACTTTTTATTTCATGTTTACCTTTATGGCTTTTTTTGATAATCTGGGACCCTGCGTCCCCCCCCCCTGAACGGGAACCTCGGATTCCTAGCTCAGGGGGCCCCCTGGACGCCCTTGCAGGAGGTTCCCCGGGCTTTCGGGAGCTTCTGGGGGCCCTTGCTGGGCCCGGGCAGCGGGCCCAAGTTCGTTAGGAGGGCGGCCGAACAGCCCCCCGAGGGCCCCAACAGGGCCCAAACGCCCACCAGACGCCCGAAGACGACCCAAAGAACACCCCCAAGAAGCTTTCGAAATGCAGGAAACAGTGATTTCCAATGGTTTTTTACCATGATTTTGGGGATGCTCTGTTCTTCTATCTTCAGGCGTCCGAGACCGCCAAAGAGTCCCGACAATCATGTTAAAACTACCCGCAAGGGTTTCCAGGCAGTCCAAGAGACCCGCAAAACGGCCCAACAGGGCTCCAAGATGGACCGAAGAGAGCCCAACGACGGCCCAAAATGGCCCCAAGCTGCCCCCCGAAGCATTCCAAAGCGTGACCCGGTTGTTCAAGGAGACCGCAATTGGAAGCAGGGGTGTCCGAGGAAGCCCCCAGAGGCCCCCAGAAGGCGCCCAGGAGGCCTCCAGAAGGCCCAAGAAGTAGTGTAAAACTTTCGTGATGCCCCCAAGAGGCTCTCCAAAGAGGAGCCTCCGAAAAAAGAGCAGAGGAGGATGGGGAAGAATTCGCAGGGGAGGGCGAGAATGAGGAAGAGGAAGAGGAAACATGAGGGACGGATAACGAATGGCATCGTTATGACGACGATGTCAGACAAGGCAACGAGGAGTTATCGCTACTATGTCTGCTTTACCTTCCTGCCCGTCCGCCTCGACTTCCGCCTGCACGCCAAACTTCAATGACCACTGTGCATGGCGCTAAGCGCCACTGCAGTTCTTGTATGGATATATGTCTGTATGTCTGCCTGCCTGCCTGCCTGCCTGCCTGCCTGTCTGTCTGTCTGTCTGTCTGTCTGTCTGTCTGTCTGTACGTATGCACGCATGGATGCATGCATGCATGCATGCACGCACGCACGCATGTATGTACGTATGCATGTATGCCTATATGCATGTATTTATGCATGCATGCATGCATGTGTGTATGTATGTATGTATGTATGTATGTATGTATGTATGTATGTATGTATGTATGTATGTATGTATGTGTATGTATGTATGTACGTGTATGCATGTATGTATGTACGCATGTATGCATACACATACATATATACACAAACTCGCCACTGTGTCTCTGGGCACGGAGTGGTCATGTCCTCAGGTCCTTTGCCTAACCCTTGTAGCCTCAGACTTCAATCCTGAGGAGTCTTCAGTCCAACATTTCGAAATCTAAAGGGGCGAATAAGCAGGGTAGAGCGAGACTGAGGAAGAGGAAGAGGAAACATGAGTGACGGATAACGACGACCATTATTGCAACGACACTGTTGGACAAGGCGAAGACGAGTGATCGCTGAATTCTCAGTTCTGCCTTCTTGCTCTCCTGCTTGCATGCCAAGACCGCACGGGCCAACATCAAATTGCATGGCGCGAAGCGCCATTGCAGTCTGTGTCCATGTATATATAGATACATATCTGCGCGCGCGCGCGCGCGCGTGTGTGTGTGTGTGTGTGTGTGTGTGTGTTCGCGTGCGCGTGCGCGTGCGCGTGTGTGTGTGTGTGTGTGTGTGTGTGTGTATGTGTGTGTGTGTGTGTGTCTGTGTGTGTGTGTATGTGTGTGTGTGCGTGTGTGTGTGTGTGTGCGTGTGTGTGTGTGTGTGTGTGTGTGTGTGAGTGTGTGTGTGTGTGTGTGTGTGTGTGTGTGTGTGTGTGTGTGCGCGTATGTTTGTGTGCGTGTGTGCGTGCGTGTGTCTGGTCTCACTTATCACATACCAAACCGAACGCACTATTCGACGACATTACTTAGGTGATGTCCTGGTGCACAGGCGTCAGTCCACAATCATGGCACCTCTTGTTGAAGGGAAATGTTAGGTTGGCAATATTTTGATTTCAGAGCGCAAGCCGTCCCCAGCCCCTTTTGGCTCAAACCATTTGAGCGGGTTACCGCATTGAGCACATCACCTGCTCGTCCTACGCTCTCCTGCTGAAGGCTACGCCGATCTCACACAGACAAGACGGGTGCGTAGGCATGGAGGGCTCCCAGGTGCAGCTTCCGCCTCAGTGCGCACGGGACGACAAGCTTCTTGCGGAATGGACGTTCATACGATATTTGGTGGTCGGGGCGTTCATGACCTATCGCTTCTGGAGCTTGTCACTGAGAGCCGAGGCAGAGTACAGAAAAGGAGCAGTTGTCGAGCAAGGCGATTTGCAGACCGTGTTCGCGGGCTGCCATCCTTTCGAATTGCATCCCAACATTAGCACGAAACTTGCAACGGCAATCTGGATCCCAACCAAGTTATTTTGGGCAGGGTGTTTGTTCGTCCAGTCAGAGGGGGTAGGGCTTGCAGTGTACTTTGGTGTCTCTGCGCTGATGGACAACTGCACTATATTCTTGATCCACGTCTCCTTTTTCTGCAAATGCGTCACATCGGTGGCAGTATACACAATGTCGTTGGCGAGTTTTCTGCCGACTGCAGCCTTCGCGAAGTGTTTCCAGCACCGGTGTTATGAAGGGAAACCGTGGAACCCGATGCGTGCTGAGCGTTGGTACAAAAGCAAGCTGTTCTTTGTTGCGGCCATTGTCCTCATCACGCTGCTGTTCTTCATATTGCGGTTGAAGGTGATCGAAACAATTCGATGGGACGCAATCGTGAACGATTTACTTAATCATTTAGGGGCCATTAAGGTGCCATTGGCTATAACTGTCCCTCCTTTGATCGATTTGGTTCAGTCGTTCATGCTTGTAATTGTCGCCAGGTCGCAAGTGCACACAAGTGAGGCATTCTTATCAAGGGATTCAGACATGCCGAGTTTAACTTCAAATAGAATTATTGCTGTTCGTAGTGTAGGTCCTCGCGAAGAGCAACAGAGCGACACGAGGTCGACCCACAGTGCGTCGTTATGAACGAGCGCTTCCAGCTCTTTCGTCCCATCCTTTCTCCATTTCATTCTCCTTCTCCTCTTGCTTGCATGTCTTGTTGCTCTTTGTACACGTCAACTGGCAACCCAGTGCCGCACAGAATACGGTAAGCCTCCTTACCGCCACCTGCATCAAGGACCGACGAGCATCGGGATAAAATAGTTGCGGCCGAATTTGATTGACGCTTCCCAGTGGTTGAGGCGCATACGTAGTTCCACGGGCAAAAATCGAGGATACACCAGTTCACGCTTGCGTCATGCTCCAATATCAACTCTCGGCGACGATGAGCTCAACAGTCTTGTGGCCGTCTGGAATGGTCTCGGAGCCGTTTCGGGCCCGTCTCGGATCGATCTTTTGTTTCTTGGGGGGGGCATCAAAATATTGTCTTGGGCAGTTTCGAAGACATGGGCAAACCAGGTGTCAAAGACGTCGCGTTTGGTGAGAGCGGTGCAGCACGCGTCACACATGCAGCGGAATCCGCCCCCACGTGACCTTCGTCGACGCAGAAGGACGGTTTCGACTGCGCGGACATTCGCGCGCAAGCTGCCCGCGTAAGGACGCGCGTGAACGCCGTCTGCTCCAAGCGGTGTGCCACGCTGGCGGCCCGCGTAAGCCACCGCGTCGGTCGCCCTGTCATCTCGGGCAAGGCCCTCCTCCTCCTCCTCATCCTCCTCCTCCTCCTGCTCCCCCTACTCCCGCCCGCCCTCCCCCCCTCCTCCTCCTCCTCCTCCTCCTCCTCCTCCTCCTCCTCCTCCTCCTTCGTCGACGCAGGCATCCAAACTACAAGACGGGTCGAGACCATCTCGGGCCCGCCTTGGGCCGCCCGGCGGCCGTCCTTCGGGACGCGCCTCCTGGCGCCTCTCGTTCTGCTCCTCCCTGGGCTCGTGGGAGGCTGCATGGTGCCTGCTGGGGCGGCACACGTCGGAGGGAGGAGACCCGAAAAACAAACGTGCATACGCACTGTTTCTCGGAGCTCAGGGCGGACTTCTCGTGTCGGCGCTGGGCCCCACTGGTGGCGCCGGATACTCCCCGGGGCTATGACGAGGGCTATGACGAGGCTAAATCCGTTCCAGAGCGTCCCTGGAACGCTCTCAGAGCGTTCTGGAACGTTCCGAGATGGCCGCGGCGCACGAGACATCCTCCAGAGTTGCTGGCTCTCAGAGCTTCCCGATGCACATACCCCACGCGATTCTGTCCTCGCCCTGGCCTCGTCTCGGTCCGGCGCCGCTCGAAGATGTCCACGCGGACCTCCGAGAGACTCTGTGCTCCTGCGGCAGCTGTTTCTTGTCCCCCGGCGCCACCGCCCTCGCGGGCCTCCGCCCGCGCGGGCCGCCGCCCGCGGCCGCCGCCCGCGGCCGCCTGCTACAGCTTTGCGCCCCGCGCCTGCTGCACCGCCCCGGGCCTGCGCCTCGCGGCCCTGCGCGGCCACCGCGCAGCACAGCCTGGAACATGTCCCTATCCCTGTGCTGGGCACCTCCCCATCACGATGCCAATCTCAGGGATTCCCCTATGTTTTGAGGGCGAAAATCCCTAAGATTGTCATCGCCTCTTGGCGTGTCGATCTGAGGGATTAGGGATACGTTCGAGGCTGGTAGACCGTGCAGCACAGCCGGAGCGAGGTGCGCCGCGGGCGAGCAGCTCCTCTGCGAGAGCAGTGCCGCGCGCTCGTGCCGCTCCTTCTGCCCCTCGATGGGGGGGCGGCGCCGCCGCCGCCGCCGCCGCCCGCGGGGTGCCTCCGGGGAGGAGCTCCGCGCTCCTCCTCCCCTGGCTGGAGGGTGCCCTGGGCGACTGGCTCCGTCAACCCGCACGGTAGGGAGGGGGCAACCTTCCCCAGGGGCCACCCTGGCACCCTCGCCTCCTCGGCCCAGCCTTGGCCGCCTTCGCTGGCCGTGCCCCGCCCGCAGGGGGCCGACGGGGCCTCCCAAGGGCCCTGCATCCTCACCGCGCATCCTTACTCTCTACGGGTCGGTTCGGGGAGGGCACCCCAGTGTTCTCTGTGTTTGCTGCATGATCTCGTGCATCCTGGGGAGAGTGCCCTGGGATATTCTGTTTGCTTTGGCCGGCGGGGGGGTTCGTGTTCTTGAAGGATGTTCTTCGGTCTTAGGTCCGAATGTAGCTTGCACCACATAGCTTTCACATCCACCGTGCAGTGGCTTGCTTACTGTTTGTCGGCAGCGAGCGAGGCAGGGACGTAAGAAGGAGAAGGCCTTCTCAGAAGGCTCGGAAGTCCCCCGGCCTTCTGATGACAGAGAAAACTTCTCAGGAGGCGCGAGGGCTTCTGAGAAGTTCCGAAGACGGCATCTATACACCACCGTGCCTGGCCAGGGCCATCCTGGGTCTCACTATGGTGTATACGCCCTCCTGGCATCGGCCAGAAGGGCCTGGCGTTGCAACTTTTTCGAGCTGGGCGTCTTCGCTTCTTTTCGGGCCCAGGGACCCTCGCAGATCGATCTTGCTCGAAAAATGACGCATAAAGGTGGGGTCTATGGCTCCGGGAGTGATTTTTTACGATGTTTTTTTTTTTTTTTGCTATGTCGGATCTCAGGGAACATTGACAGGAACATCAAAGCGGGGAGGTCCGCGCGGCGCTGGACCCCCCTCCCGGGCACGCAGAGCGCGCCAGGCCAGGGGACCCCAGCGCCGATCCGAAGAATTTGCGCGGACCTCAGAGTTTGTATGTGTGTGTGTGTGTGTGTGTGTGTCTGTGTGTCGTTGTTTTCTCCCCTAGACTGGGGCCTCCCAGGTCCCAGGCCCGTGCGGTGACGGGCCGCGCGGTGAGGCCGTTGGGGATGCCGAGGTCGCCACGCGGTCCGTCGCCACACGGCTTTGGGGACCCGGGGACGGGCGTACGCCAATTCGGTAGCAAATCATGGGAGTCTCGTCGATTTAGCGTCGACCTAGCGTCGACTCGCAGGAGCGGCGCCGAGCTCGTCTCCCCTCCCGCTGCGCCGCGCGGCTCTTCCCTCGCCCCTCGCCCTCCCGACCCCGCCCCCTTGCCGCTGCTGCTGCTGCTGCTGCTGCTGCTGCTGCTGCTGCTGCTGCTGCTGCTGCTCACCTCGGCCCGCCGCCTGCACGCTTCGTGCCCGCAGGGTTGGACTCCGGGGAGGAGGAGGAGGAGGAGGAGGAGGAGGAGGAGGAGGAGGAGGAGGAGGAGGAGGAGGAGGAGGAGGAGGAGGAGGAGGAGGAGGAGGAGGTATGGGAGGAGGAGGAGGAGGAGGAGGACAGCGGCCCTGGTGGGCGCGCCCGCATGGCGTCGGCGTGCCCACATCGCCCCCAGCTGCGGCCCTGTCCTCCTCCCACTCTTTCTCCCCCTTCCCCTCCGGTTCCTCTCCGCACTTCTCCCTCCTCGACCTCGTCGTCCTCCTCCTCGCCCTCCCTGCTCGTTGCCCTCACTCAGCCTCGCCCCACGCCCTCCCCAGACGTCCGGCGATCCGATTTTTCCAAGACGCGGGCCCCGACCTCTCGACCACTTCCCCGGGACGGGTTTTTCTTCCCGGCTCGTTTTGGGCCGGTCCCGAGGCCCGGCAAGGGCCCCCAGTGGCCGAAAACGATGAAACATGTTCGCCTCGATTTCTCGAGACGCCCGATGCTGTCTGGGTCTGCCTCCTCTCCTTCGCGCCTGCTTCGCTCGCGGCGCCACTGGACTGCGTGCGCTCTCTCTCTCCGCCCAGACGTCGCCCGACCTCCCCGCGCGCTGCCTGGCCCCGCCGCTATTCTTGCTCCATTCTTGCTTCATTCATGCTCTGGGAGATGTGATGGGCATGACTTGAAGGTAAACGGTTCTCCAAAGACACTCGAGTACGCGCTCAGAGCTAGAACTTCTATACCGCCTCCCCTTTGCGCAGCAGACCACGGGCCGAGCACCGCAACTTCCATTCGGGGTTCGGTCCCGATCCGACATGCGCAGACATCGGACGTCTCGAAACAATCGTGACGAAGGTTCTTTCTTTTTCTTTATTAATTTATTCATTTCCATGTCATGTATGATTTTCGGCCTCTGGGGGCCCTTGCCGGGCCTTGGGCCGTCCAACAACGACTCGGACGAAGAGCTGGTCCCAGGGAAGTGGTCGAGGGGTCGGTGGCCCGCGTCTCGGAACAATAGAGACGCCGGATGTCCGGGTGCGGCTCGGCGAACGGCAAATGGAACCAGCGCAACGGGAAGGGATGGTCTGGGAGTGGCGGGCGGGCGGATGTGGGGCGAGCGCCCCCGGCTTGTCACCCGTCCTCCTTCCTCTTTCCGCTTCTTTCCTCGTCCATCCCCTCCCCTTGTTTCCGCTGCCCTGCCCCTGCCTCCCGCTGCTGCAGAGATCCTTGGACGCCTCCAGAGGTACCCAGTGGCACCAAGAGGCTGACACACTGTCAAGAACGTCGGAACATCGAAGCCTCGAAGATCCCTCCTCCTAGGGTCACTGTCTGTTTGTCTGTCGGTCTGTCCGTCCGTCCTTTGTGCGTCCGTTCGTCCGTTAGTGTTTCCGCCTGTCGGTCAGTCTGTCTGTCTGTCAGTCTGCCTGCCTGTCCGCCAGCCTGGCAGACTGTCTGTTTTGAGGCCCGCCCGTCGGCGTGCCTGTCTGCCCGCCTGCTTGCCTTGCCTCGTCGTTTCTTCTCTTGACTGCTCCCTCTTTCCCGCCCTCTCTCTCACCACTCCTCCTTCTCCCTCCCTCCCTCCCTCCCGCCCGCCCGCCCGCCCGCCCGCCCGCCCGCACGCCCGCCCGCCCGCCCCGCCCGCCCCCCGCCAGTCCGCCAGCAGGCCCGCCCTCCATCCCTCCCTCCTTCCCTCCCCCCCTCCCTCCCTACCTCCCTCCCTCCCTCCCTCACCTCCCTTCCTCCCTCCCTACCTCCCTCCTCCTCCCTCCCTCCTCCCTCCCTCCCCTCCCCCTCGTCGCCAGGTGCCGCGCCGTCGCCAGGCCAGGTCAGTCGGTCGTCGCTCCCGCGTGGTGCGCCCCCCGTCGCCAGGTCCCTCGTCGTGCTGGGCAAGAAGATGGCCCCTGAGGGCGCGGGGAGCTCGGCGAGCCTCCTGACGGAGGGGTGGGGCGCACGGGGAGGATGGGAGATGGAGGGAGGGAGGGG